GCCCAAGAGCCCAGCCCACTGTTGGGATGGGTAGGGAATCTGCCAGGGATTGTTTTGTCCAGGGCTGTACCGAGGGTGTGCTCCAGCGTGCCGTCCACGACCACGGACACGAGTCGGCCGTCCACCGTGCGCCTATCCCCGTCCGCCGTACCCGTGGGGTGGTCCAGTGCCGCCACTGCTGTGTTCGAACTGCTGTCCGCCATGACCACCATGGCCCGGGCTGCGAGAGCCTCCTCCGCCGTGCACTGCCAGCGCCGTGCTTTGCTCACCGGCGACGGCGTGGGGACGCCGCTGTCCTTCGAGAAGAAGAAGAGCCGACCGGGTTTCCATAAATGTTGGCGGAGGTTTTTGAAACTGCAGGAAAGAAGCTTGGTTGCTGAGATCCTCCGGGAGGCCACGGAGGGTTTGCAAAACAAGTTGATTCTCGGTGACCGGGGCATCGACATCGTCAAGCCAATCGGCAATGTTGCGAAGTGTCTGACAATACGAGGCAATTGAAGATGTGCCTTTGACGGTGGTGAAGAATTGTTGCTCCAATTGCATGGCCCTTGCCGCCTTGTTGTCGTGAAATAAGTTGTGAATAGAATTCCATATATCTGCAGCGGATGTGGTGGAAGAGATGATGAGATCCGACACCTCATCATTGACGGTGGAGAGAATCCATCCTTGAATGAGAGCGTTGAGTTGGATCCATTCGACGTCATCTTTTCCGGTTGAAGTTTTCTCACCGGTGAGGAAGCCTTCAAGGTTGAAGCGGCGCACCAAAAGAAGGAAGAGGCGGCTCCATTTTTTGTAGTTAGGCTCCGAGAAACTGAGAGTAATAGAAACCTGGAGTTTGACGTTAGAGATCGTTGTAAACGCTAGATGGGGGGTAGGGGAAGAAGAGTTTGGTTTTTCGGAGGCCATGGGGTATATGTTTGGAGGATTGTTTTAGAGAGAGAGGGAGGCTGTGGGAGTCTCTGCGGTGGGGGAGTAGGGTGTCGGCAAGGAGAGAAAGCTGCTGCCGTGGGGGAGAAGAGGGGTGGCGGCAGAGACAGTAAACGCCGAGAGAGAGAGGTAGTGGGGAAGGTTTCGGGGTTAGCCTAGGGTAGAGGAGAAGACTCCGATACCATGAAGAATTATTATTTTCCACGATTAATACAATGAATCCACCTCCCTTTATATACAAATAGGGAGGGGTTACAATAAGGAAACAACATTAAATGTGAATCCTATACAAATAAGGTATGTACTAGATTTGATACAGGAAATATGCTTAACATATTTAACTAATATTCTTAACATATTCGACACTTTCGAGTGCTATCTTTAATCTTCACGTGTTACATTTTTGACACGTTGGTAAGATCATGATTTTCTAGTCCTCTTTGTCCTTCATTGGTCTTTGAGCATCTTTGAATATATCTTCTAATTTTTTTTCTTCTTTTTCCTGCAAAAAATGCAATATTTATTTTTCTGGTCAATTGAGATGTATTCAGGTATAATATATACCTTGATCAAATAGCTCAATATTAGAGAAAATCAAATAACTCATCTCGATAAGAATGATGTTAATATGGAGCAAATTAGTGTCACAATCATTATTTGTTTTGTCAAGGGTGCCATTGTAAACTCGTATTAATGCATAACGTAATTAGTATTTCCGCGGGTCGATACAGATCGAATCAATTGTTAAACCGGTGTTAGTCTCATTAACCAATGTAAGTTATTATCTCTTCTATGCCTCTCAGAGACTAAATTTTATGTGCCTTGTTTCGAAGGCTTAAATGAATCAGGCGTCCTCGATAAAAGCTCGATTTTCTTTTTTTTTTCTATATGGCCCTCTTTCAGACAACACCCCTATTCCAGACTCTTCTTCCAGGTTAAAGTTTTTATCTTATCTATTTTAAGGCATCTTTTATTACTGCTCTGATCTGATCGTGAGGTTAGGTCTTCCACCCCACTCTGACGTGTGGTTATGTCTTTCCCAGAAAAGGTGGTCACTAGAGCTCTCTGTTTGGTGCATCTTCCATATCATCTAGTCAGTATGTTTACTGCATCACTAATACATACGTGATTACTAGGTACGAAATGTTGGGAAAATCACCTCAATTTTCTAGCGGAAGCAACTAATAATTTTCTCGTCTTTGTGTTGTCAAAATGGGCAAAATCATATGACCGATCAAGAATAGTAAACACGTCAACAAGCAATCAATCAAACGATAAATATTATTATTATTATTATTATTATTATTATAGTAACCAACTCTAAACCAATTACATTTTTAACACTAAATGTATAGTTTAAGAACTCCTTCCTCCATGTAGGAGGGATACCCCAACAAATCTCCCCTGCACTCCTACATGGGGGGTAAAACTCAATGATGATAAATATCATACACACCTTTCACAACCAACTGCGCCAAATCCATAGGTTGTGAGCAACGCTCTCTTCTCTTCAACTTGAACACCCGATGGCTCTTGGGTGCTCGTTTGCTTCCATGCAACTTTACCAGGGAATGACCACGATCATCAAGCAAGGATATAACCCCATCTCGCTTGGCTTGAAACCGTTTTTATCGGTGCACCTTCTTCACTTCTTCCCGGTAGCAATCTCCAAGTACCTTCTTGTTTACCGCTTGGCAACTCCTTATTCAAGATCGGTGCATGCAAATCCTTATATATAAAATATCTTCCATCATGGATTTCTAACTTTGATAGTTGGAGGAGTTTAATTTAATCATTCCCCCCAAAACAGCTTTATCCTCCATTTTAACAACACAAGAAAATCACCCAAAATTATGACTCAAGCTCCGATACCAATTGTTGGGAAAATCACCTCAATTTTCTAGCGGAAGCAATTAATAATTTTCCCGTCTTTGTGTTGTCAAAATGGGCAAAATCATATGACCGATCAAGAATAGTAAACACGTCAACAAGCAATCAATCAAACGATAAACGAACACCAAGATTTAAAGTGGAAACCCCAAATCGGGGAAAAAACCACGAAGCCTTCCACTAATCACCAAGAAAATCAGTGGGTACACCAAGAATCTTCTCTAAATCAATTAGAGGTACACACAATCATCAAGTAATAACTTGGAACACCAAACAACAATAATCTTCACTAAAGAGTGAGAAATCCCCAATAAAAACGCAACAACAAACAGAGGCAGTTTTACCGACATCGAGAGGTCAAAACAACAATCCCACCGTTGGATATGAAGAAGAGGATGTGAGGAACAACATACTAAAATTTCATCCCAATCGGAGCTCGTTTGGTCATCGATCGGAGCACAAAACAAGGCTGCACCTCTCCTTTTCTCCCTTCTTCCTTCTCTCGGCTCTCACCCCATTTCTTGTCTGTTTTGCTGCTGCCCTTTCTGCCGTGAGAAGCCAAACAAAGGCTACTGCCTTTTCTACCAATAATAGGTAAGTGGTAGCCCCCACCACTCACACTTTTCCTTTATTTCTTTATAATAATAATAATAATAATAATAAATATTATTATTATTATTATAGTAACCAACTCTAACCAATTACATTTTTAACACTAAATGTATAGTTTAGGAACTCCTTCCTCCATGTAGGAGGGATACCCCAACACGAAGGCATCAAGTCTTGATTTTTTTTGGACCAGGCTTCCAACCATCATTTCTTTTTTGATTGGGCATCCAATCATCTGGTATACATCATTCGGTATGACCAAGAAAGTTTATATTTCTTTCAATAGAGGCGGCAGCGACGGAAAATTTTATCGCCGAAGGTGGCGACAAATCTAAGGAGATAACGGAGCTATTCACATAATATTTGGAGAATATTTTAGTTTAAAGAGGCATTGGTGTAGCAATATTAGAACAATGAGGAGAAACGACGTAAATTTTAAAACCATAAGAGATAACAATGCATATTTACTTAACCACAAGGGGTCTTGGTGTAATAAACTCATAATTTTTTATATGGAGTATTTGATAAATATATGTGTATAAATTTACTCACACTTGTTTCTGCTAAGCGATGATCTATTTGTTTGTTCAACAAGAGGGTATATTGATACAAAAAAAGGGACGTAAACTCTAAAATGAATTAAAAATAATTTATGATTTAAGACATCAAATGAGGAGGTTCATTTAAATGACCATGCTAGGGTGAATCAAAGAGTTAGTGGACGAAGTAAAAGCTTTAGATGTTATTATAACGACATACCCTGACCAAATATTGTCACGTTTTATCAAGTGGATCAAAACACATGTTATAAAGTCAGAACGTATGTGTCCAAGTGGATAAGCCTACATATAATCATACCACAACGTGTGCACAAGAACCCAACGATTATCTCATGGTCTAGGGTTCACTGCTGATTATTGTACTTGAGGTCACAGGGAGGTATCTGAAGTAAACCTACATGCCGACTAGTGCGGGGTTCCTGCTTAGTCACGAATTAGTCTATGGTTAACTTAAGAAAGGTATAATGTTTTCTAAATGTCTCTAAGTAATTATTTTCTGAAGTGAGATTGTTTCTAAATGATTTAAAGTATGTGAAAAGTAATTGAAATTGATTAACTTAAAATTTCCTAAAATATATTTGCATATTATATATGTCTATTGGCTATTTGTCACTCAACTTTATGTTGAGCGTGTATGTTTCACGATTCGTATGTGGAGTCAAGTTTAGTACAACAAGCACTACTATGCAAAATAAATTTTTGCTCCAAGGAGACAATATTTTAAAGTAACTCCGTTCTGGTCCGAATCAGTAATTAAATAATCATTTAAATTAATTAAAATACTAAGACGGGTTTTGGGGCGTTACAAGTGTAGAGACCAAAGTTGTGTGTGTCCTCCCAAAAGAAGAATTAGCGAGGATTTGTTTATGTTCCATCTCAAGATTGATTTCTTCATAAATTAGCCAATCAGAAAGTTGGTTGAAAGTACATACGTAATCTGACCCCCCCAGGGTGTGGACATTATAATTAGCAATGATGGCCTCTCGGGGAGAGAAAACGACACGACAACTAGGTGGCGGTGTACCGGATTTCCGTAAAAATCTTCCCGCCAACCATACCCGGGGAATTCAAAATTCAAAATTATTCAAACATTTGATTTCCGCCCTTGATGGTGCCCACAAAGCCAGGAATCGGAGAACTCTTTGATGGGTATAACCCGCTGGTACCACCCGACAAGTTCACAAGCACCCAGGAGGTACCAAAGTCTGACCCCGCTTGATCTCACCGTCCCCGGTAATCTGATCGGGTGGGTGTCAGGGGGGTCAGACCGGTAAGATCGTGACTCGATCCGCAGAAGGCTTGAAGACTGGCTGGCTTGAAGCCGTGAGATGAACAGTAGTGATAAACAGTGTATTTTCTATTATTATAAATAGGAATGAAAGTCACATAAAGAAGGCAATAAATAAATAATATACACAGCTTCATATCATAAATAACAAACTGGGTTACAGGTGTTCCCACCTACAATCCTTCTGCTTTTAGTAACTTAATGCTCACATTGGTTTTACACCATCAGTGTTAATAGACTATTATCGTCTATATAGTACATGTATAAACTATACGTTATTGTAAAAGAGAAGTGCACCGTTTACCTACGAACTCGTTGAAAATTGTATGGTTTACTCCTGAACATTAAAATATGCATCGTTTACCCTCGAACTCATAGAAAATTACACGATTTAGCCTTGAACATAAAAAATTCGATAAAGCTATTTGTACCCCAAACTTGTGTACCCCATTTTGTACACCGCAGGTTTGCACCGACATTGTGTTGGTGTAAAACTAATTTTGTTTAACGCACTAACACTTTGTGTTCGTGTAAATTTTTGTTAACGCACCAACACTTGTGTCGGTGTAAACCATCAAAATGTTTGTGTATAACTGCGGTGTACAAATGGGGTACAGTTTTTGGTGTAAATGTAGCATGACCCTAAAAAATTATACCAAATACTCCTAAACAATTTAAAACGTTGCACCGTTGGTCTTAAAATGCTAGATAGGGAGTGCGTTGCTCCCATGCACGATAATTGTGAATATGATACATCTGACTCTTGTGAACTCTCCAAAGTACCCTTCCCCAAAATTACCTTCTTTATTTAAATGTTTAGGGGTAAATCATGTAGTTTCTGAAAAATACAGAAGTATTTGGTGTATTTTTTAATATTCAACAATAAATCGTGTATTTTTGAGGGGTTCAGGAGTATTTGATACATTTTTCAATATTTACAAATAAAACGTGCAATTTCTAGAGAATTCAAAAATAAATGATGCACTTTTCTCGATTATAAAATTTCAACCAGATCAGATTACATATTTATACCAGATCAGAACCATTCATATAAGTTGAAGAAAAACATGACCCAAGCCCCTCCCAATAAAGGGCCAAATGTATGTGCACATTCAATTTAATTAATAATTGCTTCCTTAGTTCAGTTTTAATTTTTCATATTGTAACGTTTTAACCATTAATATCTGTATTTATAAATTGATATATTTTATAAAAATGTGGTGGTTCCCTTGACACTTCTTAACAATGTCATGGAATGACCCGGGGGCCGCACGATGATCCGTTCGTAAAATTGATGGTTTCTACCCTTTCTAACCCCCGGTAAATCCTCCCCCCAAACTCACCTCCACACCCTTATTTTATTGCATTCTCAGAGCTTAATTGACTTTGGAGTCAAAATTTGACTCCAAAGTCAATTAAACTTGGGAGATGCAAATGAGGTGTGGAGGTGAGTTCGGGGTGAAGCGGGTGAGGGGTTTACCGGAGGGTTAGAAAGGATAGGAATCGTCAATTTTATAAATAGAGCATCGTACGCTATCGGGTCAACTCTTGACATTGTTTAGGATCGGAACTGAGAAATATAAAAATTTAATATTTAAAAAACTGTGTTTTATAAGGAAACTATTAGTATTTCATTCATATCAAAACAAAATGTAGTTTTTTAATACATCAAAGTTAAAGTTTACAAATTTTAACTAAGAAAAATCAAATAAAAAGATCATTTGGGAAGTGAAATTAGTATTAATCTCTAAAATATTCTCTCTCTACTATCTTCTAAGCTCCTTTCATTAGTATAAATAGAGAGAGAAATGAGAGAATCCCACCCCCCAAAAAGGCCACCACTGCAAATCTCATAGAGAAAATATAAATGGCACTTCCCAATACAGAAATGGAAGCAAAAACTCTCCAAGACTCTTGGGACTCCAAGGGCCGCCCCTCCCTCCGCTCCTCCTCCGGCGGCTGGACCAGCGCCGCCATGATTTTAGGTTTCTCCTCCTCCTCCTTCTTCCTACCTCCATATTTTCGTTTTTTAATGTTTTCAATTAGCCCAATAAGGTTGTGCACTTGTGCCACTATAAAAATTTGGTTCCCTTTATACCCCCTTGCTCTTGCTCACTTTTTCCCCCCTCAAAAAAATTTACTTTGTATTTTATTTTATTTTTATAGTAATAACATACTTTTTCCGCCCTACAAAATCCTTCAGGTTTTTACTTTTAAAAACTTTAAAAGAAGTATATTCTTGTGTTCATTTTCCAAAAATGCCCTTGGAAGCGATGTGTAAAAGTAGATGTGATAGATAGATTAATAGTAAAAAAGTGCAATAGGTTAAGAACTAGTAAAACTAAAAGTAACTTTTTAATCGAAATGAGAAAGGTTTTTGGGACGAATGAAAAAAGAAAGGAGAAAGATTTTGTGAAATAGAGTGGTATGGTATGATTCCTAACATTTCTTTTCTTTTTGAAGTGAATGAATTTTAAGCTTACACTTTTCAAATTTTAATTTTTGTTTATAAAATCTGCAAAAGTCAAAATCTATAAATGTTTATTTGGAACGGAAAGAGTTAAAAAAAAACTCAATGAGAAACTTAGATGGATAGCTAAAGTCCATTCCAAACAAAGATTGTCAATTTGTTACAAGCAAAATTTGGAAATGAGAGTACTAATTTTCCTTTTTCTAGCCCCTATTATTAACACCTAGCTAGTAACATTATGTTGGGTGGGTGGGGTTCCCATGATATTGGAACTCAATGTCAAATTTTGACTTCAAAGTCAAAATCAACTTGTGAAGTGCAATTAACGGGGGTAGGGGGTGTGTTCGAGTCGGTGCAGGATGGGGAGGTTTACTGGACGTTAGGGGGTAGGAACCGTCAATTTTACGAACGGGGCATCGGAGCACCCTCGGGTCATCTCATAACATTGGATTCCAATGTTATGGCATGAGAACCTTGGTAATGTTGGATTTGATTTGGATAAAGTTTCTCCCCTCACCCATTCATTTCCTTCCCTTTGGTCACTCCACTTATCCATCACTTGAAGATAATGGATGAAATTAATCATACCCCTCCTTCCTAAAATGTTTGCATATTACGTTAAAGGAAATAAAAGTTTAAATTTTTTTAATTCATTTTATTCAAAGATTAATAGAGAAATGAAAATAAAATTTACCTATTTAAAAATTACATTAAAAAATATTCAAAACAAGAAGTAATAAAAATGGTCTATTTTATCAAATAATCGATGAAAACGTACAATTAAACAAAGAATATTTTTTTCATTACTAGTAGTGCGTAATTAAATTATCATTAATAAAAAATAGTAATAGTAATAAATCGTCTACTTCTTTGAAAATAATACACCCTCCATCCACAAGTAATTTTCTCACTTTTCTTTTTAGGTTGTCCCAAAATAAACTTGTCATTACTTACTTAAAAGGAATGAAATGTGGTCTATATTGATTCTCGAGTAATATTACAATCACAAATAAACAGTTCACAAAATTTACAAACCTAGCTATCGTGGTTTTGTCCATTTTATAAGGTCTAATGACAAATATGGAGTAAAATGCGTTCTAATACATGGGATCTAGTCATTGTATACCTATGCTAAGATAAATATATGGTACACTGAATATTCTCATCTAATTAGTGCACATGTATGCTTGGCATGTTGGTCAATTTATACTTCCCAAAAAAAAATTTCCTATTTACAATTTCAGGCATTCAATAATTTTAGTTTGTGTGTATTTTTATTGGTTATTTGAAAACAAAAGAAATATTTTTATCACCATTTATTTTTATAAATTTTGTGATGAGCTTTTAAATATTTAAGTTATACTTTTGATTTCTATAAAAAATTGTGAATAAAATTATTTTAAAATTGATGAATTATATTTTTGTATGTTGTTCAAAACCAGGCAGTGTACTACCAGGGTAGGGAGGAGGGCAGGTGGGGCTGGGTGGGGGTTTAGAGGGAGGGTTAGGGGAGATAGGAACCGTCATTTTTACAAATGAAGCATACTCCAAACGAACTGGTGTAAGCAAATGACACCAGTAGCACTGGTGTCATTTTAGACTTACCGTGTGTGTATATATATATATATATCTTCAATAATTTTTTCCATTTCCTTACTTTAAAAAGTAGACCTTTTATTTTTATCAAATAATTATATGGGGTAGGTTGATTATGATTGTGAATTATTGCTGGTACGATTATTGTGAATTACTCCGTATTATTATTATTATTTTGTTGGTGCATAATTAAAGGGGTAGAGGCATGTGAAAGGATGACGACGTTAGGGATTGCCGTTAACCTGGTGACGTATTTGACGGGGACTATGCACTTGGGAAACGCTAACGCCGCTAACAACGTTACTAACTTTCTGGGCACCTCCTTCATGCTCACCCTCCTTGGTGGCTTCCTTGCGGACACTTTTCTCGGAAGGTTCATTTTTTCCTTATATTTTTCTTTTTATTAATGCCCGTATTTAAAACAATTCTTCCTATGAATTAAAAAAGAAATATTTGTACTAAATAGCACTAAAACTTAACTCATTTCCATAAATATCACTTACATTGTTTTATTTCCTAAGTAGCACTTAATAATTTCCCTAAATTCCTCATTAAAAATAAATAAATTCCTAAAATAGTACTACCTTCATCCTAAAAAGATTTACACGTTTTGACTAAAGTTGAAATTAAGAGAGGGATAATTTTGTGTTGACTTTCCAAAAATACCCTTGATGTGATGGGTAAAAGCAGGATGTGATGTGTAACTTATTAGGAAAAAGGTATGATGAAATACGTAGGGTTTGAAAAAGTAAGGGGTAAAAATGATTTTTTAATGGGAAATGCTTGGTTCACAAACTCAAACTTCACAAACTTACCATTTGTGAACTTTAATAAAGAAAATTAAATAGTCTAAAATAATTTTAAAATGAGAATTTAAACCATAAATTGTAAGTTTGTGAAGTTTGTGAACATTCTGTTTGTGAACGTAGCATTGCCCTTTTTTAATAAAAATGGGTAGGAGATTCTGGGACGCAATATTTTTGAAAGATGTAAATCTTTTTGGGACGGAGGGAGTACTTTATATTGAAGTCTTTTCTCAAAATAGTGATCAATAAATTCCAATTAACTTATAATATTTTATAATTGAGATTTATTTAATAAATAGTCTTTCGTAAAAATGACATTTAAATTATGACTAATTGGATGGTATTTTCATTATCTAAACTTAAAATAATTCTAAAAATAATCATTTCTATACAACTTTATGTAAAACTAAAACAATCATTCCAACTTCAATGTCATGGGAATCCGACGGTTCCCATGACATTGCCCGGCAATGTCATGTGATGACCCAGTGGTGCTCCGGTACCTCGTTCGTAAAATTGACGGTTTCTACTCCTCCTAACCCACACTCTCCCAGTAAACCCCCACCCCTCCCCGACCGGAACACACCTTTGCCCTTTCAATTGCACTTCACAAGTTAATTTTAATTTTGAAGTCAAAATTTGACTCCAAAGTCAAATTTTACTGTGAAGTGCAATTGAAGGTGGTGGAGGGTGTGTTTGGGCCGGGGAGGGTTGGGGATTTACCGGGGGGAGACGGTTAAAATGGGTAAGAACCGTCAATTTTACGAACGGAACACTGGAGCGCCCCTGGGTCATCTCATGACATGGGTTTCAATGTCACAGGAAGCCCACCGTTATTAAAAATCTATCAAAATATTTTAAATTTGAATCAAATACATTTTCTTGATTAAAAAAGATCATTTTGAAAAAACACTCCATTAGAAATGATACTTTTGAGAACTTATTCTAAGTTTAGATAATGAAAGAACACCAAAATACCCTCTATTTAATTAATACTCCGTATTTAAGTGTCATTTTTATGAATGATTTTTTACCGAATAAATTTCAATTATTAAGTACCATGTATGTAATTAGAATTTATTGATGCTTAATTTATGAAAACTCCCCATTAGAAAAGACTAATTTGAAAATTAATTCTAAAAATAAATAGCAAAATGAATTTCAGGTACTTAACCATCGCCATTTTTACCACCGTACAAGCCACGGTGAGTTGGTAAAAACATATATACATTATTCGTTCCATTTGATCTTTGATAGAATACATTACGATGTTCGTTTGATGTTATTTCAAATCATTTTGTTTAGATACAGGTGTGAAAAAATATACGGAGTACTCTCTTTGCCATTAATTGATTTACATTGAAGTTGAAACGAATTGATTGAATTGTAATTGAAAATTCTATGTGATTAAATTAGATTGAATTGAAATCTCTAATTCCAATTCGTTTTTCGCACTACCAAATTCATATATTTTTATCCTACCAAACAACAGAATTAGAATTAAAGTTCCGAATTCCAATCCTATGTCTTGAATTTTGTATACCAACTGGAGCCTTAAATTTTTTTAAATCTATTTTATTTAAAAATTGGTATAGATAAAGAATTAAATAAAACTTGGATGGTATAATCTAATGTGCAAATAGTTTTGGAAAAAACTAGTGTTCAAAAAACAGTGATACTTACATGGTTCTAAGATCTACAATTACAAATATGGACATGAGCACATTTTCATGAGCTTGTACGTGAATATTTTTTTCGTAAAAGGTTCATTTGTTTTATGCTAGAAATATATTGAGATCCATAAAATAAACATGAACTTTAAATTTACGAAAGAATTTACCTTCAGAACGGTATATATATACTTCTTATCAAAGTATTCATTTACCAAACGAAAAGTGATATGTTTATAATCTATAACTTCATCAAATAGAATGTATTTAATGTGCATAAGGTTAATATTTACATATAAGTCCTATTTTGGTATATATTCAATGTTTTAGTTCTACTTTAGTCTTTTTCACATATTTATATCAAATTCTTCTACTCGGGGTTTTGACCCCACAATTTGAGATCAAGAATGCGTAGAGTAAGAGTAAAACGTGAAAAATATACAAAGTATTAAAATAAGAATTTTATGTTTTTATCCTGAAAATAAAAGTTATAATGACAATAAAGTAAATATATAATATCAAAAAACATAGTTAAATAACAATATATAGTGCCACAATGCAAATTTGTATTTCTAGGATAAAAGTCATGAAACTCGTGTCTTCGGAATAAAAGTTACTTCGTATTCGATATGTTTTACATCTATAGGTGATTTTTTTCTTTTTTACATAGAAATAAAATTTTATTTTGAAACTTACTAAAAATAAAATAAAAAAATTAATTATAGAATGATTTAATTTCTTGAAATAATAGGGAGTGATTTTTATATGTCTTACAATATTCTTAGGGTGTGACGATTTTGACAATCTCAACAATAATCCCGAGCTTAAGGCCTCCAAAGTGCGAGAGTGGAAGCCCGTCATGTATTCCGGCGACCGGCACCCAATTGACCGTCCTCTACGCCGCCCTCTACCTGACGGCGCTCGGCACCGGCGGCCTGAAGTCCAGCGTGTCGGGCTTCGGGTCCGACCAGTTCGACGAGACCGACGAGAAAGAGCAGAGGCAGATGGTGAAGTTCTTCAACTGGTTCTTCTTCTTCATCAACGTCGGGTCCCTGGCGGCCGTCACGGTGTTAGTATACATCCAGGACACCCTCGGCCGGCGGTGGGGATACGGCATTTGCGGCGGCGCGATCGCGGCCGCGGTTCTCGTATTTCTGTCGGGGACGAAACGGTACCGCTTCAAGAAGCTCGTGGGGAGCCCCCTGACGCAGGTGGCGTCGGTTCTCGTGGCGGCGTGGAGGAAGAGGAAGCTGGAGTTGCCGTCGGATCCTTCCCTTTTCTTGGACGTCGGCGATGATGCCGCCGGCGACCGGTCCTTCAAGAAGAAGCAGAAGTTGCCCCGCAGCAAAGAGTTCCGGTGAGCTTTAATTTCCTATTCTCTCCCTTGGTCTTGATTATTGATTGAAATTATTTACTTTAAATTATGCATTGAACTAAATAAGACGTGACATAAATGGAGTATATTATTATGAAATAAACTATGTAAAATTTTACCTTCTAAACAAGGAATGTAAAATTTCTTTAGGAATAAAGAATGTAAAATATGATGTACTCCTTTCGTTCCTGAGTATTTGTCCACTTTTGACTTTTTCAATTAAATTTGATAAACTTTGACTTCAAATTAAATAAAAATAATATTTGATATTGACACAAAAATAGTTTTATTAGATTTATTATATCAAATATTTTTAAAATATTATTTTATCTAATTAATATACAATATAAATTTTTTTAATTATGGGTCAAATATTGAAAATAGTTGATCGAAAATTTCTAAACTAGATAAATTTTCAGGGACGGAGGTAGTATGAGGTTATAATAAATGAAAAGCATGGGCGGAGCCAAATGGGACCAAATGGCTGCAATTGCAGTCACTCCACTTTGGGTACCCATGTATATATACATACATACACATAGCTTTCAGCTCCTCCCTAGACATGCACCTCCCTTGCTCTTCACTATGTCTATCATTTTCAAATAGCCCTTTCAACACTTTTGCTATCCATTCTCATCCAAAGCTTCCAATTTTCCGTTGATTGAAGCTTTGAGAGGATTCCCAATTGATTTAATTGATCAAAAAGTTACATTTATGTTATTGCATACCATGTGTTCGACAAAATGTCTATGAGACCTATGTTTATTTAACGTCTCCGACAAAGGTTAGACGGATTGACTTGTCACTTTGTTTGTGCCTTGCACCCACTAGGTTTGGATCCTGGCTCCGCCACTGATGAAAAGTATGAAGTTTATTTTAAAAAATAATGGAAATAAGTATCTCAATACATCACCTAAAAATGAAATCAAAATTTTGTTACCCCATTTATTTTAACTCTTTATTTATTTTATTTATTTATTTTATTGTTTGGTTGTACCTTGAATAACAAGAAAATAATTTTTTTTTCTTTGCAGATTCTTGGATAAGGCTGCAATCAAGTGCTTTGAAGGCACTGAAGTTACCGTGGGGAGCAAATGGTCAATTGCAACATTAACCGACGTGGAAGAGGTCAAACAATTGGTGAGAATGTTACCAACTTGGGCCACAACCATAATGTTTTGGACTGTTTATGCCCAAATGACAACATTTTCCGTGTCACAAGCCACCACCATGGACCGCCACGTCGGCAGGTCGTTCGAGATCCCACCCGCATCGCTGACCGTCTTCTTCGTCGGGAGCATCCTGCTGACCGTCCCCTTCTACGACCGCGTCGTGGTCCCCACGGCGCGGCGCGCCCTGAAAAACCCGCAGGGCCTGACCCCGCTGCAGCGCATCGGGGTCGGCCTGGTGTTCTCGGTGCTCGCCATGGGGGCCGCGGCGCTGACGGAAGTCAAACGCCTCGGCGTGGCCCGCGCGAGCGGGCTGGCCGAGCGCGCGAATGCGGCGGTCCCCAGGAGCGTGTTCTGGCTGGTCCCGCAGTTCTTCCTCGTCGGGGCGGGGGAGGCGTTCACCTACATAGGGCAACTTGATTTCTTCCTAAGGGAGTGCCCTAAGGGGATGAAGACAATGAGCACAGGACTATTCCTAAGCACAATATCCCTAGGGTTCTTCTTGAGCTCAACTTTGGTCACCATTGTGCATAAGGTGACAGGACACAAAAGGCCATGGCTGGCTGATAACCTAAACAAGGGGAGGCTCTATGACTTCTATTGGCTATTGGCAATACTAAGTGTCATTAACTTTATGATTTTCTTGGTTTGCTCAAGATGGTATGTGTACAAGGAGAAGAGGGTTGGAGATGATGAAGGAATGGAGATGGAGCCTTCAGAACATGCAGTGTGTCATTAATTAAGATGTAATTAAGGGGTGTGTTAATTATTTGGAATTGGGCTTAGGTGGCATGGAATTTAGGGGAACATAATTTTCATTTGGTTTCTATTGAGTATGGATTATTTTGATATTCCATGATTTGAGAGCTCATAGTTGTTATAATTAGGGTTTTTTGTGTGTGAATTTTAGTCATCTTTTTTTGAAGGACTAGTCATCTCTTCATCTTTTGAATTGCACTCATGTAGTAGTCATGTGTATAAAAATAAGGTATTGTATGTGGCACTAAATAGTCCAAGTAATTTTTCAATTAGGTCATCCGGCTTTCCCTTTTCCTCTTCTTCCAATTGAGTGGCACATCAGTTTGTTGAGGATTTAAGGGAGGGATATTTTTGTATTGATTTTCCAAAAATATCTTTGATGTGATGTGTAAAAATAAGATTAGATATGTAGATTATTAGTAAAAATGTATGATGTGATATGTAGGATATGAAAAAGTAAGGGGTAAAAGGGGTTTTTTAAGGAAAAAGAAAAATTTATTTGGGAACAAAGAAAAAACGAAAGGGAAAGTTTATTTAGGGACGTAGGGAGTATTTTAATTTGTATAATTAAACTAAAAACGCAAAAACAATAAAAATTTACTTCAAACATTTAAAGCTATACATTTAAATTAAATAAAAAGTAATAATAAAATTGATACATTAAAGCAATTCAGACAGAATAAAAAATATTGGCATACTATTCATATTTCGAATAAAAATGTTAACATAATCATATTTAAAAAATAACTTCGAATATAAAGTCAGAGTTCACTTTCTAACTCTAACACTTAATTAAACTGATCGATAGATTTTCAACATTCTATATTTGCTAATGATATTTCGTTATTTTTTTCAATGCGCCAACTCCAACGTTCCCCTAATTATTTTTTATTTTTTCCAATATGAAGTGCATTACTCCAAAGTGATTAAACAAAAGAATTAATTAAATTGCTAAATTTACCTCTATTGTCAGAGAAAAATTAATTTAACCAACAATGAAAATATTTTTGCACAAATGTTTTAAATTAAGGAACAACCCAAAAAAGGTACACTAGGTTTTTTAGGATAACACCAAATTTATTTAGTAATGTGATCAACAAATTAAAACTCAAATAATGATAATAATAACCCTATATAGACAGAGTAAATCAAATAAAATAAACTTAGCTATATTGATTTCAATTCAATTTGTGACTTTCGAATTTCCGATTCTAACCCTAATTTTAATTTTAATCAAATACGTGTGTATATCGAATCATTGCTCAACAAACCATTAACTGTCTTTTCTAATAAAATCAAAACAAAAAGGGATGGTCATCATGTGAATAGAGAAGAAAAATGAAATAATACTATTTTGTCACATTCTTTTTTTGAATAAACGTAGAAAAACAAAAAAGGGATGGGCATCATATGAATAAACAGATTAAATATAAAAATATTGTCGGTTTTAGTCTTTCATGTGTCTTGAAATAGGAATTTTTTGTTCTTCTCATTCTTTTATTTGTCCCATCAAATGTGGTTGATACTCAAAAATATTGTTATATTAAATCAAAGAGTTTTTTGCACTTTTTATCCCTAAACTTTTCATAAACTGTGTGGATTTCTCACGAACTTTAAAAATTGACTAATGCCTCCTGAATTTTTAAAAACGTTACACCAATAATGGTCCTTCTGTGCCAGATTTTTTTTTGTGTTAATCACATGGTCATCTAGTGCAAGTATGAAATCATCTAAAAGCATATATCACATGTGAGTTCTGCAATATATCCTTCCAAAAGATTATACTCTATATTTTTTCTTTAAACTCTTGATAATAATACTCGATTTAGTCATTGATAACTGAATCCGAAAGTCAGACATCTATAGTTAAAGCTTATCATCAATTGATAAACCTCTTTATCAATACTCGACATTCTTGTCAAATTCTAACATGTATATTGATGAGTGCGTTATTAATACACTGCAGAATCTCGCTTAGGACTATAGGTGCAACATTTTTAAAAGTTTAGGGGTTATTGGTACAATCTTTAAAGTTCAGGAGGCATTGGTGCAACTTTTAAGGTTCAAGAGAAATTCGTGCAATTTTTAAAAATTTCATGGGTAAATAGTGTAAAAAAAACTCTTAAATCAAAGAAATTATTTGCATATCATTCTTGAAAGAAGTATATCTTTTTACACATTTTTAACACCCTTATATTTTGACCCTTAAAAAGTATTGCCTCCGTCCTAAAATATTTGCTACATTATGCATGTACTTTAATACACTTTTTTTTAATGAAAAAGCATTTTAAAAATATATTCAATCTGTATACTTTAGTTTTCTAATTTATATTTTCAGTTCTTTTTCCTTTGTTTTATTTGTTTCCAGTTTTCTACTCCGTATTTTCCAGCTTTAAATTATAAGAGCATTATCCATTCTCCCATTTTAGTTTTATAATTTTCTAAAAAGTGAAAAATTAGAGGAAAAAAAATCCATAATCTGAATCAAGAAAAGAGAAAAAGTAAACTTGTTTTTTTTAAGTTTGAAAACAAATTGGTCTAGAAATAAATTAAAATTAAAATTGGTATAGATTTTCTTTATGTACTTCGTATTTAAAACTATATTCAAAGTAATACAAAACAAAATGTGACAATGATGTATTATTTGCACAAATGTTGGCCTATTTCTACACTGCTAGATCATGTGGAGTATAACTCTTTAGGTTATTGATGGAACATGATAATCAAGGCCGGCCCAAAGATGGGCTTAGGTGATTTACCGGCCCAGCTCTATTTTTAGGAAGTCCAACACTTTTAATTTTTTAAATATATACTCCCCTTGTCCCAAAATATTTGCAACGTTTGCTTTTTCAGCAGTCGCGGGAACTTTTGTTTATTTCTACGTTTTCATTGGTTATTTGATAAAATAAAATATTCTTGACACCTCTTATTTCGAATAAATTTTATTTTTTATTTCTATACCAATATATAAATAAAATAAATTAAAAAAACTTGATATTTTGCCTCAGGAATACAAGTGTGGCAAATATTTAGGGACGGAGGGAGTATTATATATATTTTTAATTAAAAAATTAACACTTTCATTTTTAAGGTAACTATTACGATATTTATTTATAATACTACGAAGTATAATTTTGTATGTGTAATACTCCCTCCGTCCCCCTAACATGTTCTCATTTTAACTTTTGGTGGTTTTTAAAAAGAGTTAAAAAAAAAGGTGAAAGTTTACCATAATACCTTTAATGAAAATGGGTGGAGTGTATTAAATGAGGTGGGTGAGGTGTAATAAATAAAGTAAGTGAGGATAGTTGTGGTATTTTAATTGTTAAAAAATGAAATGAGAAGATCTATTGTTGACAAAGAAAAAGGACTATTGAGAAGATATATGAGGGACAGAAGGAGTACCTTATTGTTAATTGTTACAGTATTTAAAAAAATAGTTTATATAATTTAATTTGTTAGAGACAAAATCTCATTTTTTGTCACAGGGTTTATAATTCTCAAGGCCTACCCTGATGATAAAATATTCATGATTTGCCCCTAACAAAATACTCCCTCCCTTCCAAATTATAATGTTTGTTTACTATTCACAAAGTCAAACTTCATTCAATTTCTTTATTTATTTTCGTTAGCAATCTGATAAAATAAAATATTATTGTCACTACTAGTTTTGTAGATCTTTTGATGTAGTTTTTTAATATGTAATTTTTATTTTTTAATTCTATACCATTTGTCATATAAAATGTTTGAAAATAATTTCAATCAAACATCGAAAACCGAAACAGGCGTTATAAAATGGGACAGAAGTATACTTTCTTTTGCCCCTAGATAGATTGTCGTCTCGGAAGTAAGTGAAAGATTCCATGTCTTTTGAATTTGTTTTATTTACAAATGAGTACGGATTCCGTCTCTAAATATTTGCCACTTGTATTCCTGAGGTAAAATATCAAGATTTTTCAATTCATTTTATTTACATATTGGTATAGAAATAAAAATAAAATTTACATATAAAAAAATTACATAAAAAATTCTTTGAAATAAGAGGTGTCAAAAATATTTTATTTTATCAAATAACCAATGGAAACGTAGAAATAAACAAAAGTTTCCGCGACTGCTGAAAAAGTAAATATTCTAAATATTTTGGGACGGATGGAGTATAAAAATAAAAGTTACCACATATTTAAAAACAACATCAATAATTCCACAAAATAAAGTAAAATTTTTTTACCTAATCAAATGATGAATGAAAACATGTAAGTAAACAAGTCATCAAAAGGCCAAAAAAATTACTCTCTGTCCCATTTTAAATTACATGTTTTCTTTTTTTCTCCGTCCCAAAATAAGTTGTTTATTTCTTGTTATCGTAAACTTTTAAAAGTAAAATACTTAAACTACCTCTAAAATAAGTCACTCTTCTCCACCTTATCTTCTCATTCGTCGTCACCCTCCTAAAAAGTAATGATGATTTTGGAAAGTCAATTTTATTTTCTCTTCCTTAAATATGCCCAAAACTTAAAATGAGTGATTTAAAACAGGCCGGAGAGAGTACGATATAATTAATTCAGAGACGGAAAAATATTATGAAGAAGTGACATTTTTTTTACTAGCAATTGCCTATTGTTCATCTAAAGATGTTTTTTCTTGTCTCTTGGAATTAGACAAACTTAAAAACAAATTAAATTGAAATGAAATTCAACCTACAATCATAATTAAATTGAAGTATCTCTTTTATTATAGTATGAATTTTACACTACAATTTTTTCCCCTCCAAAGAATGAGAACTTTATTTTGGAAGGAACAATTAAAGAAAACATAAATGGCACGGAGTATAATGGGAGTTGGAACCAATGGAGGAAAAGATCATAAACCAACATGAAATGGAAAAGCAAAGCATCAATAAAATTGGATTAATTGGCAGCAAGTTAAAACTGTACTGTTAATTCTTGTGCAACCCATCTGCTGTTGATTAGTTCTCAAGATTTTGCACTAATCTTTTCAGATCTTTAATTACAACACTGGAAGAAGCCTTGTTTGGCTTGTTTGCTAAAGTACACCAAATGCAATCCCTATATTTTTCTTCTTTAACAAAGAGAATACAAACAATTACCTAAACTAATTAGTGCTTTGCCAAAAGGGGCAAGCAAATATAGAGAAAAAGAACTATATATATTGCACAAGAGGTGGGGGTGGGGGTGGGGGTGGGGGGGAGAGAGATTACAAAACCAGACTGGCCTCAAAAAATATGGAACGCAAACACAACTCTTGTTTCTTGGTGTGGTTTCTAAGGCTATATATATACCAGGGAATTGATAATTACACTCCAACATTGATAATCACACTTCAAAAAGCAAGTTCATCATTGAAAAGACAAAGAAAACAGAATGAGTTTGCAAAAGTAATGAGGCATAATTTTGTCTTTCAAGATTTCCAAAAAAAAAATTGTCTTTCAGAGACAAATTTGGAGTGTCATTATGAATGTTAGAGTGTGAATGTCAATTCCCTATACATATAATTATATATATATACACACACACACCTTTGCAAGGTCAGGATGATTCTTGAAGTGACCCTAAGAGAGTTTCATCAATTTCACCAAATATATTTGGGCATTCATCCCATCTCCCATTCTCCCTTGCTTCCCAATAGCCACCAACGTACCAGAAACCGCCATCGTCTCCTTGTCTTTGAAACCATCTTGGTTTCCATCCTGTCTCTTGTAGCTTTTTGGACTGAGGAAGAAGAAATGAAGAACTTTCATGCTTAATATGTGGCAAGTCATATGATCAAGTAAAAGCTCTAATGGGAACATTAGAGCACATACCAGCCTCTGTCGTGTCTCTACCCGTAGTTTCTCCTCGTTTGATTTGTCATAATCTCCGTTCTCCAGATACCGCTGATCCGGTCTGAGTCTTGAATCTGTTGGCGGGAGCTTTTCCTTCATCCGTGATTAATACCCCAGATCAGATATATATAGCTAACAAATATTAAAACAACAAACCCGTAAAATCTCACAAGAGAAGGGTCTGAGGAGGATGTGTATGCAGACTTTGCCCCTACCTAGAGAGTACAAAGACTGTTTCTAAGACACTAGACTCGAACACATGAGCAGATATATATAGCTTTATACTCCGTAATACGTGTAACATTACTATCACAATATCCTATTCGGTTCATTTGTACTCCCTTCATCCCTAAAAACCCTTCCTTTAAGAGATTTAACAGGAATGTATTTTGGTGTTGACTTTCTAAAAATGCTCTTGAATAGTTTCTGATAGGTAAAAGTAGGATGTGATGAGTAGATTAAGAGTAATATGATGTGATCACCACGGTAAGAATTAGTAGGGGTAAAAGTGACTTTTTAATTTAAAGTGGAAAATTTTTTTTGGGACATTAAAATTGAAAGAAGAAAGATTTTTAGGGATAAAGGAAGTAGAGTATTAAGTATTTCTTAAGCATGAATGATTATATATCATACCAGAAGGCCTGGGGTTAACTCATTGAGAGTGATGGCGAAGCCAGTCATGTTGTAACGGGTGAGATTATGGGGAGGCCGAACACTCTTCCAAAGTAACGAAGCATTCGAAAAATCTTTGGGTCTGCTACTATGTTCTCCCTTCAAATAATACATCGCCTCATCCCACTTCCCAAACAATGTGGCTACTTTATTCCCTGTGTTGTTGTCTTCCACAAATCCATGAACCTGTACAGTATTTTTGTTCATTTCAGCCATTGCTACCACAATGAGATCAAACAACAACAACAGACCTAGTAAAATCGAAGTAAACTCTAAGGAGACCTTATCCAAGTGTACACATATATGTATATATACAGATCATCGCTTTTACCTGATGGGGATTGCGTTCAAGAAGCGTTTGCTCTTTGAACTTGAGGGTGCATGAGTATTGACGATTCCCGCGTATATGCATCATGCCATGGTGGTCACAGTATATCTTACCAAGGATGATATTGTATATGCTTGTTGTGACCTGTAGACAAAATGAGCATTGGTTTTTTTAATTTCTTTCCAAATAATGCTACTTTAAGATCAGGATGACACCAATGTTGACACTGCCAGAGATGATCTCGCATAGACAATAATTGTCTTTACTGTCAGTGAGCCATTCATTGTCGGTAAGACACTATGAGTATCAGCTTTGGTGTCATCCGTAACGTATAATGATACTACGTGCTATTTTTGAGGCCAAGAAGGATAAGCAAATATTTACCTTACTCCAATGGAAAATCTCCCCATCATCGAATTCTAAAGTCAGGGTTCCAACTGGATCAAGCTGAATGGATCTCCCCCAAAACTTAGATTTAAGGTTACTGTCACCCCAAAGTTTCCAGCCTTTACCTTCACAGTGAAAGGCAATAATGGTTGGGTGGTGGCTAACCTGTTTCAAAATTTTGACAAATCACCTTCCATGAATTTATGAATATAATAATGGAGTAGAAATGCGATTCCAAGTGCATGTAAAGCTCATGCATCACTACATGTTCTGAATACCTTCTCAGAGAAGAAGCGGATTCCCTTCTCTGGATAATCAGCTTCATACGTTTCTCCTAACAAAGGATTGAAGGGTTTGCAGTGCCGACCTTCGGTTGAAGCGTATCCAGACACAGCAAAAGCAGCAACATTCAAAATCCTTTGGAGACAGTTTGCCTAAGAACAACATATAACAGATAGAAACAGTCAAACCAGTTGTCGGTCTGGTTCAGAGTTATTTTTTCAGGTGTAGAAAAATGTCCTAAACCATACCGCTTTTCCATGCTCATATGCCCGGTCTAAAAGATAGGAGTACTCAAACTCTTCGCACCCTTTCTGGAGTGATGACAATGGTTCATTGAAGTAGACCGGAAGACAAACTCGCGTAAGATCTTTCCCAACATTGTCTTTAATCACAGACCACAAACTAACAGCCTTCTCCTTCTCAATTGGGTCGGGCAGTTTTCTTCTCCTCTCTACTAGTGCATGCATTGAACCATTGCTTTCACAGCTTGTAGCATTTCCAATGCTGCTACTACTAGAAGTCTCATAGCTGGTGGAAGGGTCTGAGAAATGGTCATCTGTGTCAAAAAACCTGACTTCCTCTTCATCAGACACCTCCTCTTCAAGATCATGCTTTTCAACATCATCGGACGATGCGGTTGTGCTCCATTCTGAAACAAGTGCATAAACAGATTTCAGAATTATAACAGTAAAGACATTGAATGTGGAAGAAACTAAACAGGAGCATCATATGAGCATTGGACTATATTCACTTTATTTTCATTTTTGCTATATAAACCAACTTAATTCCATTTATACATTATTAATTCTGTAATTTTTTGAGAAAGAAAATGACTTTGAGTAACTTAATTTTAGGGTGATATATATTACTCTACATGTTTTGAAAAATGTCATTAAAATGAACATGAAAGGATAAATCATTCACCGCTGAACTTTCCACGCCCAATATTTGAGTAATCACGTTTTAGCAATTGGTATTCTCCATCCAAAAGTCCAGAGGAGGGTCCAGCTTCAATGTTCCCTGCCTGCACAGGGAAGGTTAAAAATCTTCAATAATCATATGCAAAGTGTTTCCTTTCATTTTTCATCCATCCCAAAAAACTTCCTCTAAGATAAAGAAAATGTGGCTAAGAAAAATTCTCTCTTTCTTATCCAATTCTAACCCACGCCTATTTTACTCTTCAACACTTTCTTTAAATTCCGTAAAAGTCAAATTGAGAAATTTTTTACGGGACGGCAGGATTAAATTTTAAATTTTTTTAGCAAGAAATTATATCATGGTTACTGCCTATTTTGCTAGGTTTGGTGTAACACTGATGAGTGGCAATCTTAAAGACAAAGAATTGAAAGTGGAGAACAATGAAGTAAGAAAGGCCCCCCATTTTGGTACTGAAAGAATCAATTGTGCTTTGGCTTTTGCAAAAAGGAACCCAACCACCCATATATGTCATCTCATAAATGGCTGGCAGTGTCCCTCTGGTCTCTACCGTCCATCCAATCATCATCATCATCATATATAGCCCCCTCTGTCACCTCAATCTTAATTAGTGTATTTTTAGATTTGATGAACCCTTCTAAAATCTATCCCATCTATCTCCGTACGCCTCCACCTTCCCAATTAGCAACTAAGTTAGCACTTTTTTCTGAACCCTAAAATAGAGCATTTCTCTCTTTTTTTATTACCATCCTGCAATATTCTTTAAATGAAACATGCTAGGGGTACACCTTTGGTGTACCCCATATGTACTCACTCCATCCTTGTCCACATAAATTGGCAAGAAATTCAAAAAAAAAACTCAAATAAAAATGGGTGGTGGAGAAGGAGGTGGTGTACATTGCTCTCTTTAAAATTATTATTCATACAGTTAAACTACTTTTCTCTTTCTTTATATATTTTCATCCAGCATTTCATAAAATATATAATCATGTGGCTTTTTATTTTGTAAATCCTTTAATATAATTTTTAAATATATATAGAGTAATTTTAAATCTTTATTTTCATTTTATACCAATTTTTAAATATAATGAGTAGAAAATAATTTTAATGAACATTATAAATCGTACTATAAAGAATCCAATGAGAGGGAGGTAGTATTTTTCAAAAAAACATTGTCATTAAAATTATGTGTTCCTTCATTTTAAAATAAAATTTCCTTTGAAATTTATGATATTTAAAAAAAATTCTTTGAAAAGTTGGTTTAGAACTAATTTAAAAAAAACTACGGAGTATATCAATAGTTTTACTCCATCCGTCCCAATTAAACTCAATGTTTCTTCTTTTTCCTATTTAGAAATAAAATGCAGTTCACATCCTTTATCTTCTCTAATTAAATTTAAATCATCCACTTTACTTTTTCAAAATTTCGTGATATTCAAGGCCGAAGTCTATTCTGAAACAAAGGAAATATAAAATAAAAGTTGACATGACATATATGTATTACGAAGTACTACCTCCGTCCCAATGTCTCTGTCCACTTTTGACTTTTGGAACTGTTCATCTAAGCACTTTGACTCATGAAATTCTCTCAATGTGTAAGCCTAAATATAGTCATGTGTGATCTTGTTTGATTTGTCTTAACATATAGATTATTAATATATAATTTCTATAATTTTTTAATATACAAATTACAAGATAAAATAGATTAAAGAAGTGCATTGGATGGTGTGCCAAAAGGTAAGTGGACAAAGACAGTGGGACGGAGGGAGTATTATTTATGAAATTAGTACAAGAGAGGCAAAAAACTTGAAGAAATTTTGACCTTAAAAGAGCTTGACAGTTTGAATTACCGGAGTTAAAAGGTATTTAGTGAAAGTTAAAGTGTCATTGAAATTTAAAGTTTATTTTGAAATAGATAAAAAATGGATAGAGTAAAATTTTTTTAGGGGGAGAAAGAGTTTCCAGCTTCATATATTCTTATTATCATTCAAATCTACTACATGATCTTGCTTTGGACATGGACAAAAGTAAAAGAACAGAATCTCATGTCATCAGTGTCCTATGACGTTTTTCATCCATGTTCAAATAACAAATGATGATGGACGCTTGAAGAATGCAATTTGCACATGAAGGGCATTTCACGTAAAAAGATGTCACATTTTGCATTTTTGCATGAAATTGTTGATGAAATCTTTATGATTAATTGATACTATAAATAATTGGTGAGATTAAGGGGTTGATAATGATAATCAATCATGAGGACGGCTCAGAGAGTGTTCTCTATTTGAACCAATTTTTTCAGGACAAGCGTAATTATGTACTCCCTTTGTCCCTTAAAACATGGGATGTTTAGACTTTGTAGAGATTTAAGAGAAGTGTATTTTGGTATTGAATTTCCAAAAATGTCCTTTGATGTGATGAGTAAAAGTAGGATTTGATGGGTAGATTATTAGTAAAAAGGTATGATGTGATAGGTAGGGTATGAAAAAGCAAGGGGTAAAAATGACTTTTTAATAGAAATAAGAAGTATTTTTTGGGACGGAGGGAGTAATATGATTATTTGACACGTAAAAAATAATTTTTCATATACTCGTAGATAATTTGATATATTATCACTTAAAGTACGGAAAGGTTCAAGTGACATTGGACCTCAATGTCATGGGCTGACCCGGGGGCGCTCCGGTGCTTAGTTCGTAAAATTGACGGTTCCTACCCCCTAACACCCCCGGTAAACCCCAAAATTTGACTCCAAAATCAACTTGTGGGGTGCAATTGAAGGGACTGAGGGGTGTGTTCGGTCCAAAGTCAATCGTAATTATGTAATATGATTATTTGACACGTAAAAAATAATTTTTCATATACTTGTATACAATTTGATATATTATCACTTAAAGTATTTCATTATAAAAGTTAATTTTGGCACTAAAGAGGTAATATTTGAGTTGAAAATTAAAAAGAACCTAAAACATATTTTCACATAGGGCTTTTTTGAATTTTTTTCATATTAGAACCGGCTCTCTTATTATAATCCTAAAAGAATATGACAGCAAAGTAAGAAAAGAATGTGCAGCCCACCCATCCTACAAAAGTTTCATCACTTTATACTTTTTCCTTTTAAAAAAAATATGATCTAAAATACTTCTTTCATCCCAAAAAATGTTTCCACTTTCATTTTTCATCCGTGCCAAAAATACTTTCGCTTTCATTTGAGATCTCTCTTTAACCCTATTAATTATTAACCTACCTACCACACCAAATCTAACTACTCAGTTTTTACTATTCAAAAGTTCTAAAGCATTTTTTTCCTAATCTCCATAAAATCAAGGTGAGAAAATTAAATCATCTAAATGTACAAAATAAATTAACAAAAGGTGGAATGTAACACATACCTCCATATGTCTAAGGGTGTCCAATAAGCTCAATCTCTCCTCACTAAGGACTTTGAGTTGTGCTTGAACTTGAGAAAATTCAGAGAGCATAATCTTCTCACATTCATTGACAACTCCCACATTGATCCCCTCATCCACAAGGCGGCTCTTCAGTTTCTCGGTGGATATGGATATGGATATGTCGGCGCGGGGCAAAAGAGGAATATTACTATCATGGTTTCCTGCTGACCCAAGCATAAAGAGAGTTCTTGTGGAGATCAAAGCGTCTATCCAAGCCCCTCTCTCTTTCTTTGAATTTGTCCTTAGGTGTAGCGTCTTTGTTGCTGTAAATATGTAAAACTTCCTGTCATCTGACCTGCTCTCTCGGAACGATGAGACCTATCACAGGTTTCCCAGTACAAAAATTTAATCAGATAAAATCACAAAAGGGAAAAGAAAAGGAAGACAGGAAGAAAGAGGCCCAAAAATTATTTCTCCTTGTGCCGTTACGATGTTTGACCAAATCATTTTACATGAATAATGGTGCAAAATTAAATAAAAGTTACATATTTTATATTTAAAAACTACATCAAAGAATCTACAAAACTAGGCTAAAAAGTAAATAGAGTGTGACCATGTGCATAATAAACAACGGGAATATAATTTTGGACAGATGGAATATTTGTATTGACATGTGATTGATATTCAAATAGTTATTGAATCCTAAATGAATATTTGAATAGTCATAATTCAAATGATCGGCGAATTTTGATTCATTTAATTTATGTCATTTCACTTACTTTATTTATAAAAAAATATTGATGCATTTGCTCAAATAACATTTATGTTTCACAAAATATTTTTAAAAATCATATACTCCGGTATTTTTAATATATATATATATATATATATATATATATATATATATATATATATATATATATATTATCATGGCCAAATTTCTATAATTTAGCTTGATGTACAATACATGATCTACACTATAGTACTTACATGCACTGAGATACTTTACTAATAAATCATCACACATATAGAATTTCCGAAGAGAATTAGATAATGCATTTCTAGATGAGTAATGATTAGAAAATTAAAATACACACCATACAAATTCTCGATCTTACACAAATAAAATTTTAACTTGCAAAACGTATTATAATAAATTTGGGTATATTTTGAATAGACTTAAAAGAAAGAAATAAAGAAATTTAATGTTAGGATGGACCCAAAAATGCACTGTTCATAGCACTATAGTTGCCCACTACCAGGTCAAGATTTGGAGATCGATAAGACTTGTCGACAGAGAAGGAAGAGAGAAATACAGACGCAAGATCAGAAAGTCAAGCTGACAAAATGGTGGGTTTACTATCAAAACAAAAATATGGAGAGAAAAAAAAGTCTTTTATCCTCTCTAATAATATAAAATTTTAAAACCAAAACCATCCAAAGTCCAAATAAATTTGTCCTAATTTATAGCCAATAGTCTCTTTTACTCTCTCTTTCCGAAAATGTTAACCACCAAATTGAAATAAAATTTAATTTTTGTAAATTCATTTTTATTTAAAGAATAGTATAAAAATAAAAAATACGGAGTAAAATTTAATAGTTAAAAGCTACGTCAAAAGTCATTCAAGATAAGAGGCGATAAAAATGTTTATTTTATGAGTTAATCGATGAAAAACGTACTCATAAACATAAGTTCCGTAATTTTTAAATAGTGATCCGTGACATTATTTTTGGAATGGAGAGTGTATTTAAGTAAAAACAAATTCATGTAATAAAAAATGACTATGGTCTGTCTCAGATTTTATAGCTTAATTTACCACTCCTAGAGATAAGTTCATCTTTTTTTTTGAGTGGGAAAGCAAACAATGTTCTATTCTCCCTATTCTTTTTTTATTGATTATAATGACTATATATCTTAATACTATATATAGAAAATAAATGATGTAAGCATACTTATTTTTGCATTCATTCAATTTTTAATTTATCAAACAAAAAATCATACTTATTCATTAAAAAAACTTTAAAAAAAGAATAGAGGTAGTAGTAATTTTATCCTTAAACCTATTAGTAGGCAATTATAAGGTTACCCCACTTGATGTGACTAAGTGCAAATTAAACAAGCAGTTAAATTTAAACATGAAGGTGATTTTTTTTGCATGAGATTTCACCCAGCCTCTGGGGCCATGGTAAATTCTGGGCTCTTTCAAGAAGCTCAGATTTCCAAGCTATTTGGTGGCAGTCATGAACAGAAAACTTTCATAGATTTGGAAAGTGGTGACGAACTCACCTAATCCCATTCATTCATTGCTTTTACCCTTTTTAGTGGGGGGGTAAAAAAAAGATTTTGTAATGTAGTGGAAATTTCTAGATTTTACCCGATGGTGGATGAAAAGGAGAGTGGGATCGTGTAGGGAGCAGACCACTGTACCTTAAGGTGGACAATGCGGACGGATTTGCGGGGCTTGCGGAGGCCGCCGGAGTGGTTGGAGGGGAGGCTTCCGATGAGCTTGACTCCGTCATCGGCGGCGGCGGAGTGGACGGGGCGGCGGGTTTTGGAGTAGGAGAGGATGCCGTCGCGGAGGACGAACCAGCGGGATCTCCAGCCTTTGTGGTAATTAGTCCACTTGTAAAGGACGCCGGCGACGCTCGTGGCCTCCGATCCCACCGACCACGCGTCAGATCCGACCACCGCCGATCCGGTCCTCAACAACCTCGGCACCGTCGCCGCCGCCTCCTTCCTCCTCGGCTGCGGCGACTGGTCCCCGATCGCCCCGCTCTCCAGCAACAGGCAACACAGCGGATGCATCTCCCTCACCCGCATTTCGATCGCTCCCCCGCCGATTCCTCTTCAATAATACGCCAGCGACTCCATTGCTACAGAGCTTCGAATAAAATCGAGTCAAATCGAAATCCGGCCAGAAATATTTCTTCACAAGTAGTATTTCATTTCACACACGCAAGAAATCTATCTGGGTTTTCTGATCTTTCTGGGAGAGGGGGAAAGAATCTGGGATTAATAAGGCCAGAAGAAGGGGAAGGGGAGGTTGATATACATGTGTGGAGTAGATGGGAGGTTGAAGAATGGTCAATTTGAAGGCGGCGATGATGGAGAAAGATTTCTCATGGTTTGTCTGGGGAGAAGAGAGTAAAGACAGAGGTTGAAGCCCTGCGGATGGGAGACGGATGGGGAGGTTGAAGACTTGGTTTATGTTGAAAACTTGAAACTCACCTCAGAAATTTAGTGCAAATACTAGTTTTCCTCTAAGACTAATTTATATTCATAACCAGACTCTTAACCTATAATTAGTTTAAGGAAGAACACAAAATCTATGAGTCTTTTTAGTCACGCTAAAAAATTGAATAATGGTTTGCTCAACGTCGGGTTGGGTGATATCCCAAACGAGTAATCATCTAGTTTGGTTTGTAGATCTCGTACGTACATTTTAAATCTAGCTTTCGGACATCATACCCGCAAAGGCCTACCGAAATTGGTCATATGGTGCCTATCTTAGAATTCTTTTAGATAACCTTAATTGTTCATAGTCATCATTTAATTAGGATATTCATACAAATATATTTAATCACAGCTATCATATGATTTATTTGTTCGTAATAATATTTTGGTGTTTAATCAAGACAAGATCATCATCCTTATTATATAATCATATTTACAAAGGGCACTATTTTAATCATCATAATCAATATTTAATACGGAGTAATAATCATCATATAACATCAATGACAAGTAGCGGTCTAACTTCAAGTGTTAATTCTTTAACTTACCATCATTCAATGATTTAAATTTTAGAATTGATCGAATTGTTATTTTCAACTTGAAAATGATAGCAATAATGATTTATATTTGCAAAGTAGCAAAATAGGATTTTACAACTTCAAAATTTGGATTTTTCCAGTGTTGAATAACCCGTGAGAGTCAACTGTTTCGTGCGACAGTCGACCGTTACCGTCACTGTGCTACTGGACATACGACGGTCGACCATTACCGGGCAACGATCGATCATTCTGCATCAATGGAATAGTATTTCCTCTTCTTTGCCAGTTCAAGCTTCTAAACTATCATTTTAGGCAACCAAACTTTAATTTAACTATATAAAAATACTCTCTAACATTCATAGATCATTTTTAAACAATTTATTTGAAGTTTTTACAATAAAAATAAATTTGGTGATTATGAGTATAAAAATATTTATATTTTCAAATATCTATGAATTAATATGTTCAAGGATCATTCCGCATCTTCTAACTTTGTTTAAAATCATGGTACAAAACTGAGAATCAACAAGATAAGGCTCGGCAAACAAACCAGAGCAAAAACAGCGTTGGAATCCATGAAAGTCGTCACTTTCCATCACAACTGTACCAGTACTGGTATTGGACTATATCTCCTTTGCTACTCAACGAAATCGCGAACCGTTTGAAGCAACGAATTTGTAAGACATAAGGCTACAACTTTCGTGAAGAAACCAGATTAAAATAACGCAGTTTAGAGGGCTGTATACTACATAGAACTAGGCTGATTTGCATAGGGGGTTTTTAATCTTTTGGTTAAGTTGGATTTTAACATGGTATTAGAGTTTTGTTGATATCGAGATTACGAGTTTGAAACTTACGGTTGCCAGTTTCTTTAAAAAATTAAAATTCACGTCCAAGGTTAGAGAAAAAATAAGTCTCCTTAGCTTGGACGTGAGGGGATATGTTGGAGCTTAAAATTTTTCATGTGTCTACAATAATAAGTTTTAGTTTTTTGTTGAGTTGGTTCTTTACAAAAAGTATTTTTTAATATAAACTTTGTTGTTATTTTAATCGCTTGTGGTCAGACATCGTTGGGGTTGTGCTTCAAGGACTATATTGAGAGTTTCGTGGGTGGAAGTGTAGATGGTTGTTGCCGGTTGCATTGATCGTTATCGCTCTTAGGGCCCCAATTAGAGTGGCAAGATCCACCATGGGTCTTGGGCCAACTGCACTTTCTTCACTTTTTTCCAAGAGCTGGCGTATGTTCAAGATATTATCCTCGCAGGAAATAACAAGGACGCATACACACGTATGAAGGCATATCTTGATAAAAAGTTCCTAATTAAAGACCTTAGAAAACTGAAGTACTTTTAGGGAATTGAGATCGCACGCCATGCTAATGGTATACTTCTGTACAAAAAAATATACTCTCGATATCTTGGAGGAGGTTGGATTGTTGGGATGCAAGCCCGCAAGTTTTCCTATTGAACAACGTCATTATTAAATGGCCCTCGACAAAATCCAGTTGTGATCTGAACTAGACTGCTATCGATGACTCATCGGGGAACTAGTCTATTTCATTATCACCCGTCCTGATATTTCATATGCGGTTCATGTCTACTCACAATTTATCCAAGCACCTATCGAGGCACAATATGAGGGGGTGCTGCGCGTTGTTAGGTATCTCAAAAGGTCTCCGGGCCAGGGTGTATTACTGAGCTCTCGATCACCTCTTTAAATAGAAGCTTATTGTGATTCTAATTGAGCGAAGAGTCCACTTACCCGTCGCCCGTTGAGTGGCTACTTTATCTTCTTTGGAGAATCTCCAGTCCCTTTCCATATTGGAAAGCAAAGCACTATTTCCAGATCTTCAACCGAGGCTGAGTACCGAGTTATGGCCGTCACCATAGTTGAGCTACTTTGGCTTCGCTTTTTCATGTGATCGTTGAGGGTGCTTCATAAGGGGGCTATGAATCTGTTCTGTGACAATCAAACAACACTTCACATCACTACCTAACTGATGTTCCTTGACAAGACAAAACATATTGAAGTAGATTGTCATTTTGTTCGAGAATGGATTGTCGATGGATCGATTAAAGCCACTCATGTAGGGACACATCTTCAGTTGGCCGACATCTTCACAAAGGCACTTGGCAAGCACCAGTTTGAGTTTCTCTTGCGCAAATTAGGCATTTGTTCCCAGCATGCTCCAACTTGAGGGGTGCGTTAGAGAATAATATGGTATATTCTATTTATGTTTAGTATATCTTTATTATGTTAGGACTATATTTCCATGTTTAGTTCTGATTTTGTTTCTTAGTTAGATTACTCTTGTGTTGTATATTTATTGGACTTAAAAGTTTTATAAAGGTAGAATATTACGTGTAATATTTTTCACACCAAACAATGTGATTATTGATTAATCATTAAGTAGTTACTCCGTATATTAGGCTATTGGTCCCTCACCACCGCTCACAAAAATCAACAGTCACTCAAAGTCACATCAACATTGATTGCACTCATCATCTCACTCACTGCACACCTGTAGTGTCTCACCAGCATTGCAATCATTACATTTTTATTTTTTATAAATAATTTTCTATTTATATCCAAATCAAATTCTATCATTTATAATATAATTATACAAAACAGTAAAAAATTATTTTGTTATTATTATTTTATTTTATTTTTGTTACTATTTTTTCTATTTTGAAAAAAATAGAAAAAAACAAGTTATTGGTGTCGTTGGATAGATTTTATGAAAAGACTTCTGATGGCATGTTATTTGTCAAGTAATGATCGACTTACGTACAAAAAGTTTTGGAAAATTGACAAAGTTTTTATAGTATAGAAAATAATATCTAAAATCAAATCTTTGTTAAAAACATGCATAATCAATTAATCATCAACCAACTCTGAAACAAAAAGATGGGTTAGGCTGAAATAGCTAGGGTTCACCAATGATTCTTCCATGTCTTCCCATTTATATTAGTTCATTTAGGACTAACTCTAAACTCTACTATCATTAGCAGCCCAAATACCAACCCTTAGATTACTACTACGAGTAGTGCAATAAACTCTTTGGATAACATTGCCTTAAGAATTTTGCAGTAACACGAATGTTATTTAACAAAATTAGTTCAAGAACCTTAATTAGAAAAAACTATGTAACGAGGCAATCAAGTACTTATCAAGTGACACTTAATTTCAAAAAAGTTTGGCTATTGAAAATACTTTGAGTTTAAAATAATAACATTTTAAACTAGATTAGGTAGTGGTCCTAATATGATCCAATTTAAGTAAAATCACTTGAAAAATGGTTCACAGAACAACATTGAAGTAATTTGTCAGTAAAAAAAAGCTTCAATTATTTCCACAATATTAAATCAATTTCATAAACAAAAAGTTCATAGAAAAACTTTATTCAAGTAAAAAGAGTGTAGTAATTACGCAAATAATCTGGTTATATATATATAGTGTTTTAATTTTTTTGTTCAAATAAGATCTTAGATCACACACAAAACATGAAAAGTCTAAAAGAAATGCTTCGAAAAAAACTCCAACATCTCATTTCATTACTTTGAACCCAACTTTGAAGCTAATTTTTACTTTGATAGAAATACACTTTACTTGGAAACTCTATGCCATAATCTCAAAAGTAACTCTTTAACAATAATTTGGATTCCTATAATTAAACATAACTCCCAATTTTTAAGACGGATATAATAAGAATCAGGACTAAGAAAAACAAATCTAAAATAGTTCACCTCCGGAAAACAAATCTAACGAAAGGGGTTTCGAATGCAAGATCCGAACCCCGAAGGTTGTTACCCTTTGGTTGTAGCTCTATTTTTTTTATTCTTGATGGTGGTGTTGTAGCGCTATTTTTTTACTCCTTTGACGTTCTTAGAATCACCAATCCATGTGCCTATTTGGAAATAACTTATTTGACCATCGAATTTCATTGTATCTTATATGAATGGCTGATATATACTCTATTTGTACCTTTGGTATAGTACACCACACACATTTTTGCGATAGAAATAAATTTGATCTATAGTACTAAAAATGTCATAGTGTTTTAAAAATCTTTTTAAAATTTGCACTTATTTGATTGAATTATGAATGGGATCAGGAATCACATTGAAACTCGATTAGCGAATCACCAAAGAGACTCTGTGTAAAAAAATTGTACTTCTTCCGTCCCATTTTAAATCGTTTTTTTTTCTTTGGGGCATATTTAACGAAAAGAAGAATAGAATTGATTTTTCGAAATTGTCATTACTTTTTTAGGAGGGGTGACGATGAATGACAAGATAAAATGGAGAAAAGTAACTTATTTTAGGGGTAGTTTAAATATTAACAAGAAACAAGCAACTTATTTTGAGACAGAGAAAAAAGAAAGAAAATTGGCAATTTAAAATGAGACAAAGGGAATAGGTTTTATTAGAATATCATGGCGATTTTTTTTTACACATTTCTTAATT